AGCCGTAGTGGAAGGCCTCGGGGTAGACGAGCGAGGGCAGCAAGGCGGGCTGGCTGGAGGTGCGGGCCCCGGACGGGCGCTGCGCTGGGGTCCCCGCTGCGCCCGCAAACCCGCAGGAGCCAGACTTGGCGGAACAGCTGTCCCGGGCTCGTCCGGTCTCCATGGCAACTGAGACGCGGCTCACTCCGGCCGCACTTCCGCTCCTGGCCCCGCCTTTTCCGCTGTGCCTCGGTCTTCCACGGCGTCACCGGTGTCGTCACCGTCGTAAATAGTGCGTCATCAGCGTCGCCTGTGTTCAGGTGCGCCCCGTGGAGAAAGGGCCCCCTGACGCAGCCAGGAGGGCCTGATTGCAAAGCCCGGCGCCCAGCCACCCATCCCCATCCGTCCGTTGCCTAAGTGGTCAAGCCACCCTTGATTCGCTCATTTAATATTTGCTGCCTAAAGATTCTGTTTCAGACCCGTGCTGGGAGCTGGACATACCCAAGGAAGGAAGACGCTGCTTCTGTCCTCAGGCAGCTCGCTGTGCGCGCGCGCGCGTGTGTGTGCGTGCATGTGTGCGTGCATGTGTGCGTGTGTGTGCGTGCATGCATGTGCGTGCGTGTGTGTGTGCGTGCATGTGTGCGTGCATGTGTGCGTGTGTGTGTGCATGCATGTGTGTGCGTGTGTGCGTGCATGTGTGCGTGTGTGTGGTGTGTGTGGTGTGTGTGTGAGTGTGCGTGTGTGCGTGTGCATGTGTGCGTGTGTGTGTGTGTGTGTGTGTGTGTGCGCGTGTGTGTTGAGACAGACGCACAGACACCGGGGTGGCCGTCAAGGTGGGAACAGGAAAACAATTACAGTTCAGTGGGTTAAGGCCAAGGCGGAGATGAACGCCGGTGGTCAGGGAACCACAAGGACAGGAACTTCATCGGTTTAGAGAGTGACGGTGAACAGCGGCGTGCAGACCAAGCAGAGATTTGAAAGCACGAGTGGACTCGCCGCTAGTCATCAGGGAAGGGGAAGCTAAAAGCACCATGTGCCCGGGGTGGCCGGTGTGCTCTCTGGTTAGAGCGGCGCCTGCGCGGCCGAGGGTCGCGGGTTCGATTTCCCGTTGAGGGCTGAGCTGGGTTGCAGGGCAGATCCCTGCCCCGGGAGGGGCGCCTGTGGGAGGCAGCCAATCAATGCCTCTGTCACATCAATGTTTCTCTCTCCCCCTCCCTCCCCACTGTCTCTAAAAAGCAATGGAAAAATATCCTCCCTCCTTGGGTGACTATGAAAAGAAACACAACACAATATGAAAGCACTACATATTTTGTAGAATATGAAATCAATCAATCAACAAATCAATAAAAACAAGTCAACTGACTGAGTTCTAGTGAAATGTGGAGAAACTCAAGTTATATATTGCAGTGGGAGTATGAACTTGTCTGGCAGCTCTGGAAAACAGTTTGCCAGTTTCTTATAAAGTTACACATACAGCAGTCCCACTCTTAGGCATTTTCCCAAGTGAAATGAAAACTTACGGGCACACAAAACCCCACATGCAAATGTTTAAGGCAGCTTTATTCATAATCTCCAAAACCTGGGAAAAACCCAAGTGTCCCATTCACTGGTGAAAGGGTAACTAAGTTGTGGTACATCTATCTATACAATGGAATACTCTCAGCAATAAAGAGGAGACAGACTACTGATACACAACAGCCCAGATGAATTATCAAATGCATTATGCTAGGTAAAATAAACCATCCCAACAGGCCATGCACACTGGGTGATTCCATTTATAGGACATTCTGGAAAATGCAAAACACAAAATAGATCAGTGGTTGTCAGGTGTGAGTGATAAGAATTAGTGTTGGCTCCACAGGAGCACGAAGGGACTTCATGGGGGTGATGGAAATGTCTTCTACTTGATTGTAGTTGTGGTTACCAAACTGTATGGATTTGTCAAACCTCACAGGCCTGTACACTATAAAGGGCGAATTTTACTGTGTATAAATTATACTTCAGTTTTTCTTAAGTGAAAGAAACATAAGGATGAGTGGGAGTAAGCCAGGAGAGATGGGAAAGGGGCACTCCCTGCAGAAGGTCCCGTGTGTGGGAGTTGGGAGAGAGCACCACATATGGGAGGACTTAAGCTCAGGAGGGGAGTTGACTAGAGATACATCTAAAAGGTAGAATGGACAAAACTTGCTGATGGGTAATGGTAGCGAGAGAGAAAAGGGGTCAGGAATACCTCCCAAATATCCTGTATGTGCAACCAGGTGGATGCTTATATTATCCGCTGTGATTTTCAGGAAGAGGGCTGCTCTTGTCCCAGGGCAACAGTTTGACATCACACTGACTGTCATCATTGGCACAGTGTGGCTTCTGCTCACAGGCGATACAAGTAACAACTTTTTACTCCTGGGGCAAGTCTGTGTGCTTTACAGCCTGAAACCCACTTCCTGAGATAAGCCCCAGGATGCTCGCCCACAGACCTGGCTCACTTCCGCTTCTCTTGGTTGGGCCTCCCTCCCTCATCTGTCCTTTCTAGTACTTAGTCCTCAGAGCTGTCAATCTAGGGCCCCTCCCTAGACTATGTACTTGAGAGGCCCCTGCTCTGGCTCTCCTATAGCCTCACTCTTCTCTACACAGCAAGGGGGCCACTAGGCCAAGGAAACATGCCCCATGCCTGCTCTCCATGTACCTGGGACCCCAAAATTATTTGCCTAAACATCCTGAGCCATTGACAGGGCCTATGCAGGCCACTTCTTTAAGGCCTTCCTCCCGTTGCTGACTGGTGTTTGCACTAAGGGGTAGCTTTGGTGGGAGGTGGAGAGAGCTTGGTTGATTTGGCTGGTTTGTCCAATTGTCTACACACATGCAAGGTCCCCAGTGGTGCATGAAGGAGATGTCTGGGGGCTCCATTGCTCTAATATTAGGAGTGGGCCTGCCCAAACCAGGTGGTCTTGTTAGTTAGGAGTAGTTCTTATGGAGGCTCCCTGGCCCCCTTCCCTGTCATAGAGAAGGACAGGACAACGGATTCTTGCCATCACTTTGGGCCTCTCCATCCTGCCTTGACAGCCTCAGAGTAGGCCACAGGGAGTCTGACCCAGCCTGGGAGGTCTCCCCTTTATCTGACTCCTCCTACCTTCTGGCTTCAGTCCCCTCTGCTCTGTCTGGGCGAAAGTCTCCAGCAACCCTTCAGTTCCTCCAGTGGCAATGGCCGCTCCTGTCCTCATCTTCCTCGACCTTTCAGCACCATCCGCTGATGTGTGTTCCCTCTTAATGACACACTCTCTTCTCCTGCTTTGCCCTTCCCTCTGTGCTTCCCCCATCTCCACTCTCCTCTCCTTCGACTGGTATCTCTCCACCTGATAAGCTGGGCTCATTCCTGATTCCGCTGTGCCCAGCATTCAGTTGGTTTGTTCTCTGACTAACCAAATAACTGACTGGTTCAAACTGTGTCCAGAAACAAAGGGTTTGGGCCACCTTTGATCCACTTTCCAGCTCCTCCCCTGGGAGGGATTCAGCAGCACAAAGGGAATTTCTTGAGTTGCTTTCTTTATTTTATAACCTGTGCTGCTGACCAGAATTTCTGTTTATTTATCTTTGGGTTCCTGCACATGTTGTTTGGCCTTGTAAATTTTTTTACTTTTAAAATTCAAAAGTTATATATCATCATGGTAAAAAAAACACCACCAAAAAACAAATAGTGCATAAAGAATAAAATATAAGTATCCTCAATCTCTTTCCTTGGGTAAGGTCTGTATCTTTCCAGCTATTTTTTTTCTGCCTGTACAAACACCAATATCTATAGTTTAAAAAAATTTTATTGGAAAAATATATATTGTCCAGCAATTTGCTTTTTTTCATTTACGTTCTACAGCAACTCACAGAAGACTGTTTTTTGTGTTTTTTTTTAAACGGATGCAAGGGAACCCAATGTATGGAATGTAAGTTATTTAACCAGGTCCCTGCTAATGAACTTTACTTTGTACAGTGATTCTGTATATAATAGAGAGGTAATATCATAGAATTAGATATCAATATAATATCCTAGAATTAGGATTGCCTGGCCAAAGGGTATGCACATTTTAATATTAGAAATATTACCAAATTGCCCTCCAGAAAAGACTCAACGAGCATTATGTGAGGCTTATGGATATTTAAAACATGCTTTGGACCATATCCCCAATTTTATCCCAATGCACAACTCCCTCCAAAACTCCAGACTTGTACATTCATCTCGTACTTGACATCTCGCCTTAAGCATCTGAAGGCCCCTCGAACCTAACGTGTCCAAAATAAAGCACCTGCTCCTCTTCGGCCTCCCCCATCTGTTATTGGAGCTCCCTCCTTCCAAACATGGATATTGGAGCATCATATCCATGTTTCTCTCTCTCCCTTCCCTCTCTCTTAAATCAATAAGCATGTCCTTGGGTGAAGACTAAAAAAAAAAAAAAAATTCAGTTACAGTCACAAATGAATATGCAATGAAATCCCAAAAATATAACCAGAAAACTAACCCCAAATGCCCCATACTGTCCTGGGATAGCCCACAGGCCCAGAAACCTTGCGGTCCAGTGTGGCATCCTAGATCATTGCATGCTCTCTAGTGTCTTGCTAACACGATCTGAGTGCCCTCACTTCACCACAGCTACTCTCTAGAGAGAGGCAGCCTTCACCTTTCCTCCTGATGCATCTGGACTTGGGTCTTAAACCTTCTGGAGGGAGCTCAGATGGGGTTTTCCAGCGTCCACATGCATTGGGCACACCCTTGAACCAAGAGCCAACAGGCAGGGCTCTGACCACCAGGATCAGTAGAGGAGGCCAGGTGGAGGATAGCTGTGGGGAG